ACATTTAGCTTATCACTGAACTTGCTCACCGGTTCACAGTTCACTTCTGTATGCACCTCTTGCACACGTGTAAAACACAACCGTGTTTGTCTTGCATCTTGTAACTTATCTGTTGAGGATGTACTACGAAACCTGTTACACTCACTAGGTCTATATGCATTACTAGACATCATGGAGCCTTCTCGATATCCACCTCTCTGAGGCCCTTTCGTCATCAATGATTGTATTTTACCCTCAGACTGCTCTATTCTAGGGGTGAGATGTAATAGACTGGCGAACTTGCTCATAGATTGATTGACGCTATCTTTTACCAGTTTCAGGATATCATCAAACTTTGGCTCGATACCCTCATCCTCCATACGGGAGCTTATCTTCACCCACTTCCTTTGCAGTCGAGTAGGTAGACGTCTTGCTATTACTTCTAGTATAAAACTCGAGTTGAGGTCACTCATGCGATTCATCGAAATCATTCCATTCTTGTAAATTAGCAAATTATCTAAAAACTCAGTGAGTGCCTGGGAGTCATCCTGTAATTGACCACCATTACCCTTAACAGCCTCGAATAATTTCCCTGCAATCATCGAAGGTCTTCCAAACCTTTGACGTAATATGCTCATAGCCTCGTAGTAGCCCTCTTTTGGCTTCATAAACTTACAGCACTGTATAGCTCTTGAAGCATCTCCAGTGCAATATCTCATCAAATACATTAACTTCAATTCATCACTCGATAAGAAACCACTCAACATGATCTCAAACTCCTTTACAAATTGTAAATAATCAGCCGGGTTTCCATCAAAACACCGTGGTTCAAATTTAGGGAGTTTGATGTTCCTATTATCCCTGAACGGCGAAACAGTAACATCAACCATGTCATGCTTAACATCAGACACATCGTTACAATTAACAGACAAGTCACCATGACTTACTTTCCTGTTTGCATCCAAGACACTCTGTCCCTTCTTTGACCCAGGCATTGTTGAACTTGACCAAATTCCAAAAAAGTTCCAGATATTGCTTGTTCAAAGAGGACTTGACCGGCACCAGGAAAATTGAACGGCGACTATCCAAACTTTCACCAACTGTTTGAATCCGCCAGATCTGTTTCTACTGTCAGAAACTGTCAATCACGTCTCATAAACCGTTAATGCCCAGCTCTCGCTACGCTCGGGCCTACGCTCTTCCTCGAAGATTTTAGAAACGCTTAGTTATAACGGACGAAAAAACCAAAACACCGATTGGCCGCTTGATATTTCATTATTGTTACACCAACATATAAAAATAATAAGTGAACTAAGGTCTTTGAACAAATATTACAATAATAAATCATAAGATTACTTCTGACGATGTTTCACTCTTCTTTCTGACCAGCGACCGATGAGACGATGACTGTCGTATTGATTCCTCCGGGAAAATTGGGGAAGTTGATTTTAAGCAAACAACCAAGAATTGATCGTTCAATCTTCAACTCCATTGACAGGAGGTCTCTGTCTGGAGGCGCACGTCGTCAGCGATGTGTGAGACTGTGCTGTGGGTATGCTTGTGGTGTGTTGGCTTTTCTGTTTGTTTTCCATTTCTGCTCTGTCCGTGTGACCCAGGTTCTCGCAATGGCATCCAAGTCAACTTGCATTGGTCGTGAAGGAAAAAAGGGTTGGATCCCATTTCTGCCTGGGAGTGTCAATGTAGTTGAAGATTGAACGATCAATTCTTGGTTGTTTGCTCAAAATCAACTTCCCCAATTTTCCCGGAGGAATCAATACGACAGTCATCGTCTCATCGGTCGCTGGTCAGAAAGAAGAGTGAAACATCGTCAGAAGTAATCTTATGATTTATTATTGTAATATTTGTTCAAAGACCTTAGTTCACTTATTATTTTTATATGTTGGTGTAACAATAATGAAATATCAAGCGGCCAATCGGTGTTTTGGTTTTTTCGTCCGTTATAACTAAGCGTTTCTGAAAACTTCAGGGAACAGCGTGGGTCCTAGCGTAGTGAGAGCTGGGCATTAACGGTTTATGTGACGTTATTGACAACATCTCTCCGAGTAACTGGCTTATTAATATCACCAACACTAAATCCAAAGTTATTAGAGTTCACATCCCATCGCATACCTAATATGCATTCAACTGGTAGAGTATCAACAGGTAAATCTCGTACAGTAGGTGCTCTGTCTTCTGGAACTGTGTGCTTCAAAACGTCTATGCTGTTCGAGACCCACTTAGTTAAACGGAAGCCAGCCTTAGCTAACACCCCAGTAATACTTGTCGCAAATTTAACTGCAGACTTACCATCATCGAAGGAGGCTCAAAAATCATCCACATAGAAGCAACAATCAATGACGTCCAGCAGATCTTCAGAACCAAATGTGGACACTGCCTTTCCTAGAGCAAAATTAGCACAAAACGGCGAGGACGTGGCACCAAATGGATGGAATGTCATCCTATATTCCGACATCTTACCACAAGGACCATCATCAGTCCACAAGAACCCTAAGTGACCTCTGTCACTCTCTGGCACCTTCACTTGTAGGAACACTTCCTCAATATCCGCGGCGACAGCAACTGTAAACTTTCTGAATCTCAACAGCAGACCGACTAATGAGCTCACGCAATCTGGGCCGCTATACAGATTATCATTCAAAGAGACTCCTTCATGTTTCGCGGAACAATCGAACACCGCACGGAGTTTACCTGGCTTCCTTGGGTTAAAGACGGGATGATGGGGCAAATACCACTTCCCTGGCTCGCTCTGATCAACTAGTCTTTCAACGTAACCCTTCATTACATGTTTGTCGACGACATCCTTATATTTGGTCCAGAGGTCTGCATCTGACAGAAATTTCTTCTGTAAACCCACTAGTCTCTTAAGAACAACTTCTCTGTTACAAACCAACTGTCTATCTTTAAATCTCCATGGTAGGCCAACGCTGAAAAGCTCATTTTCGTATTTACAAGACTCCTCAACTATTTTAACTGCCTTTAGGTCTTCTACAGAACGACCCTTCTCTGGGACACCGCAGTCACAAAACTCCTTGTCATACATATTTCTAATCATAGTCTCTAGTTTGTTCCCATTGTTTGCAGCTAATGATGATATGTTGACTATGGGTATAGACCCTCTCACTGTCCATTCCAGTGGTGTTTTCGCCGCGAACAGATCATCTCTACCTCCGAATCTCTCTTCTACTACCTTGTGAGCTTCTGGCACACTACATCCAATGAGTATTCTCACTCTACCATCTTGCAGTGTTGGAAACGTTATGTCACACAAGTATGGCTAACGGTCTAGGTACGGTAGCTACGCCGAGTTTCATGCTGGAGGTAGTGTAAGCAGTATCTACTTCAACGGTTTCCCCAGTAGTCAAGGATTCTAACTGAAATGACACTCGTTCGCATACTACCGTTTTCGAAGAATTGAAGGTATTTAGAATCAAGGATTGCTTTGAGCCCTTAATACCCAAGCGGCTAGCCAGATTAGCATCTATCAGTGTAACGTCTGAGCCATCATCCAACAGTGCATAAGTCTCTACCGAAGATTTCGGTCCTTTCACCTTAACTGGTAATACCCTAAATAAACTTGTGGGTTGTCAAGGGGTCTAAGGTACTATTACAATTAACCGAATTCCCCGGTCCGTTTACTGTCCTCAGAAGTGGGTGCACACCGATTGAACCACTACTTTCTTTGTCTGTCGCCTTACAATTCAACTTTGTATGTTCCATCTTTAAACAACTGAAACGCAACCGCTTCTGCTTTGCCGTTTTTAACCTTTCTATGGGAGACATAGCAATGAAGCGATTGCAATCACTCAATTGATGCGTGTTATGGCAAACAATACGGTCATCTTTTCTCGTTGTGCCTTGAGCCTTCACTACAAATGCTTTCATTATATTCACCGGTTCCTTAGGTTCTACCTTAGAATGCGAAATGCTGGCGAATTTGTCCGTCGCTTGATTGACACTGTCTTTCACCAGTCTCACAGTATCATCGACCCGGGCTCCAAACCATCTTCCTCTGGCCGGGAACTAACCTTTATGAACTTCCTTTGTAGACGAACCGGTAATTTCTTGACAACTGTCTCAATCACCGAACGTGAGTTTAACTCATCCATATTGTTAAGATAAACGAGAGTATTTCTGTATACCATTAAATTATCCAAGAACCCTGCGAGTTCCTTGGAGTCGTCCCTTAACTGTGCCCCATTAACTTTGACGGTCTCAAAAATGCTACGGGATATCATAAATGGCCTTCCAATCCTTTGACGCAATATTTTCACGGCCTCTGTATATCCTTCGTTAGGGGGCATGAACTTACAGCACTCTATAGCTCTTGGAGCAGCTCCAGTGCAATACTTCAACAAATACATCAACTTCATTTCATCATTTCATTAAAAATCAACTCAACATGACTTCAAACTCCTTTACAAACTGTGGATAGTCAGCTGGGTTTCCGTCGAAACACCGAGGCTCACATTTAGGTAGTTTAAAGTTCCTATTATCCCTAGACGACGATACGCTGACATCAACCTTATCATGCTTAACATCACACATCATTACATGTAACCGAAAACTCAACATGGCTTACTTTCCTGCATGAAGTTGAAAACAACTATCACCTTTTATTCACCTTTAAAACTCTTATTTCTTCAGTTATCAAATATTAATTTTGCATACGTTGTAAATGTTTTCTAATCCTATGCAATCTTGTCTCTAAGCCCCTTGTAATCTATATTCATACCTTCAAACTTTCATATCAAATTGAAAATTATTATCTCCTTCGTTACTATATGGAATTAATTAAAAATATAATAATTGTATCCATGTAAACTGATGTGTATATAGATGCGGTTGTACAGCTGCTTTTGAGAATGAAATCACCAAAAAGATCGTCATCTTTGCTGAACTTCTTGTTATTTAATAAAAGCATCGCAAAAGAAATCAGCAATATCAAGATTATGAGTGTCGATCAGTGTCCACAATCAAAATAATCACAATAACAGTCTGTAACACACACACACACACACACATACCATAAAATAAATCGACAATCTTCACCTACCTACCTAACTACCTACCTGTACACCACCGAAGAGGATAACTGAACCACACCGAAAAACATACATAAATCAACGCGTAAAGAAACCAGTTGGCAACACACACACACACTGCTGTTACAAGTGAATGTTAATAGAAGCTAGAATGCATCGAGTTATCATTATATCAATACAAAATTAAACAGCACAATCCTTTCACCGATATTTAAAACTAATTTAGCCTCCTAAAGTGATATCAAGAGGTTAATAAAACTTTTTAGAAAAAAGGTCAAGAGGGAGGGGTTCACAAGCATTCCCTTAGGAAAAACATGTACGTGAAATTCCATATTAGTTTGTTTATTAGATGTATCACACAGTCACACAGGTGTTAAATCATTCCCATTACACGAATTGTGCAATTGATTCGATAAACAAGGCTTCTGTTATCAATCTCTCCCTCCCTACACCCAGTGACATTAGATTTAGAAAAAACTGTCATCCTATCCCATCCAGACTATTTTATGGTTGTGTGTACTTGCATGTAGTGCTTGTGATAGCTGAACTATTCTCTAGATTTCTTATCTTATTCGGATCAACTAATCTAGATTTTACTACTAGGTTTTCATGTTCTGCTAGTCTGACGACTCACTGCCCCTGTTCTACTGGTTTGACCTGATAATCATTGCAGTCAGGCAGGGTATTAGATAAACTAAATTGTTTTGTTTTAAAGGCTCCAGCGGATTGATCCTTTAACCAACAAAGCTTCTTTCTAATTGAGTTTGTGAGTTTTTAATGCCACTCTTATTCCTGAAAATACGCGCAATAGGAATGATTCAACACCTGTCCAGTTGGACATCTGGAAAATTCTACTACCGCAACGACGACAAATAGGAGAAGACAAAGAAAACTATACAACTCAAGTGTCGAAGTCGTGTGATTATAATTGATGAAATGATTTTGAACAATATTAAATTGTGTTCGAAACTTTGTCATCCAGTAAATACTACCACTGTTTGTGTGACTGTGTGATACATCTAATAAAAACCAATATGGAATTTAGAAAACAGAAAGATTGAACGAAGAAATATTTACTTTTCAATTAGATCCTCATCTCTGGCTTTACTCTAATGTCTAAATGGGGATTTTTTTCTATTTTAATATGGAATTACTTACTACTACCACCGCCACCACAACAGTGCCCAAGTTTTACACATATATTAGTGCATGTGCAATGTTAAATAAGAAACATTAGTTTCCAGGTTTATAAAAAAAAACTTTCAGGCATCAATAGTACTGATCAAAAGTGATCAAAATGACTCACCACCTAACTGGTTCCAAGGATCCAGATATAAATCCTCTGGGCCTGTCTGTCTGTTTTCGACATAGAACTTTGCACAAATGTGCGGAAGTTCAAGTCGCCACATTCCGTGTAGCACGCGAAGCAAGAGAGAAAGTACAAGAAAAGCATAATAGAAACAGTGAGCAGAGGTGTGAGACAAAGGAGTAATAAAGAAATACAAAACAGTTTCATTGAAGATCATAAGTCACAGGGAGTGGATGCATCTGCGCCACTGAGAACGGTTTTGAGCCATGTCACCAATTGTTTCCAACCATAGATTTTTACCGTCCCGAGGACCCCAGCCTGGAAGTCTACACCTTCCTACGTGGCTGGCTTAGACCAACTGTTGTGGATTTCATTGACTGATGCCAAGTTTTTGTTTGACCGCCGCTAGCTTTTTTCCAGCCTGACCCTATATCCGCTAACATTGCTCGTCGAGGGAGGCGATGGCTTGGCATACGTAACACATGTCCTAACCATCTCAGTCTTTGTAGCTTCACGACTTCGTCGATTGATTTCCCCTGTTTACCTAGAACTCTGCGCCTAACCTCCATGTTGCTCACCTTATTATGCCACTTTACACGGGAAATAGAACGCAGGCACCTATGATCAAAGACAGCTAGTCTTTTCATGTCTTCCACTCTCAGTGGCCAGGTCTCACAACCATAAAGGAGGACGGAGCGGACTGATGAGCAGTACACCCGCCCTTTGGTCGATAGTCGAACATCTCGTCTACGCCAGAGTCGGCGTAAACTAACAAATGCGAAACGAGCCCCTTGTATTCGTGCTGAGATTTCGTCAGAGATCAACCCGTTGACACTGGCTGATGGTACTTCCCAAATAAGTGAAGCGGTCAACGTGCTCTACCACTTCACTTCCTATTTTTAAACTAGGCGTCGATGTAGTCCAGTCCTGTAACATCATCTTGCATTTGGCGGGAGCGAATCGCTCGCATGCCAAACATTCGTAGATTGCGGCTCAAGGTGTTTAGAAGACTCTGCATTTCGTCAGCGTCTTCGCCTAGAAGGACTATATCGTCTGAATATTCCAAGTCAACGAGATTATTCCCCGGTAGCAAGTTAATTCCTGAGTCACTGAAGTCACCTAGGGTTAAGTCCATTAACACATCTATGATGAAGTTGAATAGAAAAGGAGATAATGGGCATCCTTGACGGACACCACTGGTCGTCATCAGTTCAGATGACAGCTCGCCGTAAGCCCTCACCTGGCTGTATGAGTACGAATAGAGTGCCTTAATCAGTGCAATATATTTTCTCGGAATTCCCTTTACAGCCAAGCATCTCCAGAGAACTTCCCGATCGACAGAGTCGAATGCTGCCTTTAGGTCAAGAAATATAATGACTGTTGGACGCCGGTAGGAATGCCTATGTTCTAGAATCTGTCGGAGGGTGAAGATATGATCAATACACCCTCTTCCTGGTCTAAAGCCTGCCTGCGTCCAGTACCCATTCAGTACAGAGAATCGGAAAACTACCTAAAGTAGCGAGTGCTTGTAGGTATGCGAATGTACGACAGCAATCAGTTGACACCACGGCTATCAGACGGTTTTGCTGTATTCCCGCCTCTTGTGCATAAAAACTATTTCATCGTCTGTAGAGTAAAGCCGGGGTAATCTCCACGGCGATTTCCCCACCACAAGAGGCAATCAATTGTTGTAGAAGATTGACATCAGATTTCTTTGGACTATTATTGCCTATGAAAAAGAAAAGTGGTAAATTTCCGTGAAAAAAACGACATAAGCCTACTAAAGCATATCTAAAACATTTAAAGCATCTCATTCATTACTTCATATCGCCTTTAGAAAATGATAAAAGGTGAAAATACAGCAAGGTCGCCGTAAGTTTTAATTCTCAGTCATATTTGATAAAGTCTCAGGCCAATGACGAGTATGATCTCTCAGACACCCGGCCGATAACTGCTACCTTGTCGTGGTGGTCGGGCTTGAATACCGCAATGACTCAACAAGCTGAACTGACTGGGACCCTGTCTCCACAGGTCCTACCATGTCAGGAAGGTTTTCTGGATAGCGGTTAAACTAAAAGCAGTTACCATGGGGTACATGGGCTCCAGTTTCCAATCGGATCAAATGGCGTTTGAACCCATATGGGTCACCGGCAACCATGGGAATGCAGCTCCTGACGCTGCTCCGCTGCCTTGCGGATTAGACTCCAAGTCGAAGGCTCGGGGGTGGTCCCTTAATAAAGCCACCTGCTTCGGTCTGGGCGCCCGGGCAGTATCTCAGCCCGCACACAATGAATGAATTAAAGCAACGAACTCCCATTGAAACTCAACGCGCTAGTTAAAATGATTCCAAGCAATATTGATCCCTCAAGGAACTTATTTCCTTCCTACTCTACTTTTATTTTTATACATAGTTTCCTGTATTGTACCTTTTCTAACCTTGGCTTCTTAACCTTCGACAGCCTTTCACCTTTGTCGAGATTCCCAGCCTATCCGTGTCGTTTCGAGATGTTAGTGAGTAGTCCTCAAAATGGTTGTTCCCAATGTGACATCTAACACAAATATCCTGAAACCGCGTGCTGCGTTCAAGCTGCCCACCTACAATGTTCGGACGCTGATGCAAATCGGACAACGGGCAGGGTTGGCAAGAACTTTGGAAAGCCTCACTAGCGATGTCTGCTGCATTTCGGAGACCCGCATTCAAGATCCCAGTGAAGTGCTTCGACTATCCTCTCCATCTGGAAGTTCTAGTAGTATGTACCACCTGCGCTTATCCGGGGACCCTGTGGCGTCGGCATCCGGTGTAGCTGGTGTCGGTGTCGCACTGAGCGCTAGAGCCGAAGCTGCACTGCTCGACTGGATTCCCATTAACAGTCGTTTATGTGCTGTGAGGCTGGAAGGTTACACGAAAGTAAAGAGTAGTAGGCCAGATAGGCGGTGTCTATTTGTTGTCTCTGCCTATGCACCGACGGATCGCAGCCCGGATGCAATGAAGGATGAGTTTTACTACCAACTGAGCGATCTCTTGAAACAGGCGGGTCGGAGGGATATCGTAGTGCTGGCTGGGGACTTGAATGCACAGGTGGGGCGTCTAAGCTCAGAGGAGAATCGTCTAGGTGGTCAGTGGGGACTACATGGTCGCAGGTCAGATAATGGGGACCGTCTTCTGCAGCTTTGCGCGGATCACAACCTATTTCTAGCTAGCACCAACTTCCGGCACAGCCATCGCCGTAGCGCTACCTGGCGTCCTCCCTCTGCGAAGCAAGCTTGGACTCAGATTGATCATATCGCGGTCAGTTTCCGGTGGCGGGGATGCATACAAGACTGTCGCTCCTTCTGGAGCACATGCCTGGACTCCGATCATGCGTTAGTGTGTGCCAAGTTCGTCTTGCGATTTGGTGGGGTTCGTAAAAGCCGTAGTCTAAGCGTTGATGTGAGCAAACTAGTAGCACCTGCTACTTCTTTGAAATATCAGAATGAGTTAAAAACAATGCTTGCCAGCAACCCCCCAAGTAGTATAGATGAACATTGGCTTCATGTGCAAGGTGCCATGCAAAAGGCGAGTGTAGCCGCTTGCGGCTTGAAAGAATGCTCCGCTAACAACCACTGGGTTTCTGCGAGTTCCTTGCAACTCATGGATGAACGCCGGTCCATTCCGGCTGGCAGCGAATACAACAATCAGCGAAAGGCGCTCACGCGCAAGATTAGACAGTGTTTACGTAAGGACCGCGAAGCCTGGTGGTCAGAACGTGCGTGTGAGATGGAGTCAGCTGCTGCATCTGGCAACAGTCGGAAGCTGTTCCAACTCATACGAGCCACCGGCAGCAAGAAACAAGGTGTCAGCGAGACGGTCTGTGAGGCAGATGGCACTCCAATTACCAGCCTGAAAAGACGCCTGGAACGCTGGGCAGAGCACTTCGGGAAGCAGTTCAGCTGGCCACCAGCTTCAGTGTCTACTATCATTAGCCCGAGTGCTCCTTGGTCGGTTAGTACCGACCCACCCACCGAAGCGGAGGTCCGTAAGGAACTCCAAGTTCTGAAACGCCATAAGGCGCCCGGCCCAGACAAATTACCCCCGGCTCTTTTTAAAGATGGTGGCGAGACTCTCACAATGGCTCTAACTGGGTTGTTCAGGAAGGTGTGGGAGACAGAGAGTGTACCATCAATGTGGAACGAAGCCATTATCGTCCCCATCTTTAAAAAGGGTCGACGTAATTCGTGTGACAATCATAGGGGTATCAGTCTGTTACCAGTCGCGTCTAAAATATTGGCTGCTGTCTTGCTTCGCAGACTGTGCAAAATACGTGAAGGATTGATTCGCGAAGAGCAGGCTGGGTTTCGTTCAGGTCGTGGATGCATTGATCATGTGTTCACCCTTCGTCAGTTGTTGGAACACCGCCACACGTATTGCAGGCCAACGATCGTTGTGTTTCTTGATATTAGGGCTGCCTTCGATTCGTTGGACAGAACTGTGCTCTGGAACTGTCTGTTAGAGAGAGGTGTACCTGAGAAATTTGTTAACATCCTGAAAGCCCTATACAGAAACACCTCAGGTAGAGTGAGGGCATACAACCAACTATCACCACTGTTCCCAACCAACAGTGGGGTTAGACAGGGTTGCCCAATCTCTCCATTTCTCTTTAACTTTGCCATCGATGACATTCTGGAGTCAGCTCTGAAGGATGTGCGTGAAGGTGGTGTAGATCTGCTACCTGGAGATAGACTTTTCGACCTCGAGTATGCAGACGATATCGTCTTACTGTGCGATAGCATGCAGGCTGCCCAAATCGCACTTAATCAGTTGGCGATCAGTGTCTGTAAGTATGGTATGTGCTTTGCGCCGTCTAAGTGCAAAGTACTGTTACAAGATTGGCAGGAGCCTGTACCTGCACTCACTCTTGCGGGTGAACCGCTTGAAGTTGTTGATAAGTTTGTGTACCTGGGTAGTTGTGTGAGTGCTGGCGGAGGGGTGACGGATGAGATTTCCAACCGTATAATGAAGGCTAGGGTGGCATACATCAACTTGAGCCACCTCTGGCGCCGTCGCGACGTTAGCCTGGCTGTCAAAGGTCGGGTATACAATGCTTCGGTGCGGGCTGTCCTGCTCTACGCCTGTGAAACCTGGCCTCTCCGAGCTGAGGATGTGCGGCGACTCTGCGTGTTCGATCACCGCTGTCTCCGCAGGATTGCTTGCGTTCGATGGCATCATCGCGTGAGTAATTCTGAGGTTCGGCGGCGTGTGTTTGAACAAAGTGGAGATCACCATTCATTGAATGTCGTCATCTGGAAACACCGGCTCCGGTGGCTTGGACATGTGCTCCGAATGTCACCCCAGAGGCTTCCGTACAGGTCTCTGTTCGCTAGCCCTGGGACGGGATGGAAAAGGCGGAGAGGTGGTCAGTCCATGACGTGGCGTCGTGGGATGAAGGATTTTTGTGCTAGATTAGCATCGGTTGGTGTGTCACGACTCCCTGGTTGGGGTCCGAGAGATAGCTCAAATCGATGGCTCGAAACGTTATCGGATATGGCCAAGAATCGTAATCAGTGGCGAATGTGTTGTGATTTCCTTCTTTCTTCCCTTCCCGATGATAGCTAACGAACACTGTTTGAACTTGTTAAGCATGACTGTTTTCCTTCCAGATGAAGTTCTTTATCCGTTCTCTACTTATATATATTTTTTCTTTTCCTTCCTTCCTTTTTTTTGATCTATGTTGTTTTATTATTATTGTGTGGCGCATCTTTCTTGGTGCCATATTGTACCAAGTTTTTTATGCGTTTAAATAAATAAATAATAAATAAATCTCTCAGACAAAACCCACCTGAAGGATCAGTTTCCACAGGCACCTGTCTGTCTGTTTTCGACATAGACCTTTGCACCGATGTGCAGCAGTTCAAGTCGCCACATTCCCTCCATGTAGCACACAACGCAACAGAAGAAATGCAAAATGGAGACAGTAAATAGAGATGTGAGACAAAGCAATAGTACTAACGGAGAACAGTATAGTTTCATTGGAAATCATAAGTCACAACGAGTGGATGCATCTGCACCAGTCAGCTATTGAGAACGATATTCAGCCATATCACCAATTGTTTCCAGCCATTGGGTTTTCTCGTCACGAGGACTCCAACCAGTCAGGAAGTAGACACCTTCCCACGTGGCTAGCTGGCTTAAACTAACTGTTGTGGATTTCATTGACTGATGAAGCCATGTTTTGGTTTGACCGCCGCTAGCTCTTTTCCACTCTGACCCTATGTCAGCTAGCATTGGCTGTCAGTCGATGAAGGCGATGACTAGGCATATGTAACACATGTCCTAACCACCTCTCTCAGTAGATGTAATTTCACAGCCTCGTCGATTGATTTCCCCTCCTCCTTACCTAGCACTCGACCGACGCCTAACCTCAATATTGCTCACCTTGTTTTACCACTTCATATGGGAGATAGAACGCAGGCACCTAACGTAACAACGCTTACCCTTGATGACGTAACAATCGGTTGTTCAATAAAATCCTCACTGAACAACAAATGATCCACCTAGGGGTGGTTAACAAATCAGCTGACTGCTGTAATAATTACCCGAAAATATCACCACTTCTATAAGTCTCTACTACTTTAAGCCATAGCAAAAAATGACCATTAATGCAAAGTAAACATCAACGAGTCGATTGGTAGAGACGACCCTAAAAACTCACTTCTAGCACCACCAGTAAGAATAATAGTCCATCCTTTAAACACTGATGATCTTGGAGTTGGAATACTCAAGATACGACATATTGAATCCAACAAACCACCTTCCAATGGTGTCGATGATGACAGCCCATCTAAAATTTAAAAAAAAAATGAATGATGTCAACTTAAATAAGCATATTCATGTATATATTTCAATTGGTTATCAGTGACGTACACTCCAACTCTTTTTCAAGCCATTTAGGTATGTATGTATGTTCTATCACCTTTAAATGCAAGGCGCCATTACTCCTCCTCCTCCTCCTCTCGATGTATGCGGCCACACACACACACAACACGGAATGTGATGTGCAATGTTGAGGCGCCTGTGGTAGAGCAAGTTTTTGGCTTTTTCGATAATTTAAAACAACTAGTCCCTTCAATAAATTTCGATAGACCTATTAGTAATCATTCATTCATTCATTCGTTCTTTCTCAAAGAAACAATGTGTAATAATGCTAAACACCAAGTGCTTTCAACTAGCTCGATAAGTCACACTCCGCCTGATGAAGAAGACGAACATTGATCGGATATGTTCACTCATAACCTATTCAACTAAACTTCGTACACCCTTTGATTGAATACAAGCATACTGTAAATCAGGTGGGTTGCTTTCATGGAAAAGATGCTGTTGTCAACAAATTCTCCTCTGAAAAATGCACGGCGACACTGCTGCTCCACAACTCCCAATTAACAATGTGTCTAACCACAGGAAACAGAAGATCTAAACGAAAAATTGCTGACCCTTATTGTGAAATAAGAATAAAACCTGTGAACTGTGGTAGAGTATAATTCCATTATGGGTACACTTTTGTGTTGATCAAGTCTCACGGTGTTATACAGTGTTATATATTTACTGATGAAGTTTCGAGCACAATTTATTGCTGCTCATAATCATATCAAGCTACTCACACGACTTCCTAACTTCATTTATATAGTTCCATTATTTTTCATCGCTTCATTTGGTGATTTGTAGTAGTGGTATTTTCCATATTTCGGGTATGAGTGATGAATCATTCCTATTGCATGTGTTTGGTGTAGACTGGATGAACAAGGGTTCAGTAATCAACCACACACACACACACTCTCTCTCTCTCCACTTACCTAGATTACTTTTTAGAATTTCAATCCTCTCCCGCCACGCCATTGTGTGGTTGTGTGTTAATACATGCAGTGAAATGTAGTGTTGAGCTTTTTTTAAATGACTTATCTTCTCGGGTAGGGTCAACCATTTTTATCGTAGCTAAATTCTCATGTTCCGATAATCTGACTACTCCCCACCTACTAGTTTGACCTATGTAGTTGACCTAACTCACAGTCATTGCAAGGTATTTTGTAAATTATATTATTTTGTCTAATAGGGTCAACAGGGTCCTTTAACCCACAGGGCTTGTCCTACCTGAGTGAGTTTGTAGGTTTAAATGACATCACTCTAATTCCTGCTTCATTGAGAATCCTACATAGGGAGTACCTCAGATGTCCCCTCCTTATATGGTAGAAGTGCTGTAGATGACTTATATTCTCTCTTATTTATGTTATCATTACTAGTTTCATAATTATTTTTATTTCACTTTTGACCTTTTTTCGATTTTCCTAATGAATTTTGCAGGGTAGTTATTTGATAACAACACTTCTTCTATCTGTTTTGTCTCGTTAGTTAGGTCAGTTAACGGATGAGATGAATCACAGTCTAAATATCTATTAGCAGAATGCTTTAGTTTTTTATAAACGCTAGTCTTCAGTCTACCTTCTTCTATTCGTTTCATTTTACAATCTAACATCACAGCTAATTCTCCTTGTTCATTTTCCAGAAATGTGGAGAATTCTACTACCAATCAAATCAAGCGATGAAAAATAATGGAATTTTATAAATGAAGTTAGGAAGTCGTGTGAGTAGTGCCTTGATATGATTATGAACAGTAATGAGAATTGTGCTCGAAACGTGGTCTTCAGTAAACATTACTGTATAACAACACTGTGAGACTTTATCAAAACAAATTTTACTTATTGTAAAACACGGTGATTACATAAAAGCCTATGGCAGAACTATTATTTGCTTTGAGTTTATAACTGCAACCATCACAGCATAAGCACGTCAGTATAAACAATATGAACTAATTGACCTTAGCTGCTGCTGTTATCTCAAAAACAACAGACTTTTATATGTGTGCAGAACAATCAACTTACTGGTAACTTCGTGTGTATTCAATGGCTCAGATAAATGCATGGAATCTTGGATAGGGACCTCGTTAAATAGGTCTTGTGTGGTGTGAGCCAAAGAGTTTCCTCCACGGTTCTGTGAAAAATATTAATGACATTTGCATCAATTACAACACAACTAAAGTCAACTAATTACCATTTCTAAAGCAACTTTGGAATAAAACAAGAACCTTAAAAATAACAATACTAACTTTAACAGATGACAATTTACATTTTGTAACAGCACAAACAGGAAAGAAGTGCGCTGTGCAACAAATAAACACCATGTGGAAGTCAGTCAGTCGGGTATTTCACTGACAATAGAGATAACAACAAGCCAAGACCTTACGGAGGACTTGGGTTAAACAACCCAGGAACGTTAGCAGTTATGCAGATTTATTATGTGCCTTAATGTTGACTTAGAATTTAATTGGTAGATGGTGACTAGCAGTGGAATCCAGGATAACGCGCATTTCATAGGTCCTATTTGGGACTCGTCAATTGGCTGGATGTACCTGCATTTCCCAGTGAGTCAGTGATGATGTTCCCACCACGGAGGCTCGAACTCAGTGCCCATAGTTTCAAACACCAACGAAAGCGTTATCCACTAGAGCGCTTGAGCCACGAGGGCCACCTCTTTAGCAACGAGTCATATTAATTATTTAATTCAATTTTAGGTTTTCCCGTTGATTGATTGGACCGAAGTGCTCGGTCTCAGGTTGACACGCCTTGGCGTTTGAAACTATAGGCACTGAGTTCGAGCCTCCGTGGTGGGAACATCATCACTGACTCACTGGGAAAGGCAGGTACATCCAGCCAATTGACGAGTCCCAAATAGGACCTGTGAAATGCGCGTTATCTCTGGATTCCACTGCTAGTCACCATCCATCAATTCAATTCTAATTACATGCCCAGATATCGTCGAAGCATCCGCACAAAAGGCCAACAGACATGTCAACCTGAGACCGGGCACTTCGGTCCAATCAATCGACGCGAAAATCTCAAATTCAACAATGTTAACTAAGTTGTAATGTATTTTAATCCAAGTAGTAATACGATTTATCCTGAGAACTAATAATACTTCCGTCAAATATATTCGTCCTTTCACTTGCTAACACTTTCCGTGGTGCAACTTCCAACTAGACAGCAGCCTATGCGCTGTTAAAGCTCACGTTGCCTTCCCTGATGGCTAGTATTTTCACACATCCGTGACACTCCGAAGACAAACTATGACCTGACACACCCATCGCTATCATTTCAGGGACGGTTTGTACAGTCAGTCGGTAGTAGTTGGATTTGTCTTTTAATACCAAGTAGCCCGTAAACCTCTTCTTTTCGCTAAGTTACTAGAAAAAAGGAAAAGCCGGGTTTAATCATACAGTATTTTGCTCTCTATACTATATGGGAGGCCAAGCAGTACGTAAGACATAATTCACTGACGACAAAATTGACTGCAAAGACGTGTTGCAGTATCAAGCAGATTTACAGCACACAATTCCCTTTCGGTAATTTATACATCTTTGTTTGACGATTTCAATGACATATATCCCGGTTTGCATCCAAGTGTGTTAAACAGATTTCAAGGCGTCTATCTTCTGTTTACGCTTTACATTCCTGACGGCTCCTTTCCGTTCCCTTCGCAACCACCTCGTCATATTCCACTCCTGGTAAACGGAACAAGTCGTACTGTGTATTGGCAGTCTTTGATTCCTACCAAACTTCAACTGAAATGATGACTTCTTTGTTGGTTCCTGGGTGGGTGGAAGCACGACGAGCTAGTAAAATCAATAGAAGGAAGATCCGCCTTCCAGTTGCCGCTCTTCGAGGTCAACCACTCCTTCAGTGTACGGTTATTTCTCTCTGTCAAACTATTTGTTTCTGGATGATGATATGGTCTTGTTCTCATCTTCTTGATAGTCAGTTGTTGCAAACGGGATGCATATGAGCTTGGCTTTCAAAACAAGGACACTGATCTGCCTGCCAGTCAGTATCGTACACCGTGGTCTGCAACGATGTGTCTAACTACTGCATCAGTCACAGTTCTCGCGCGTTCACCTGAGATCACGATGACTTGTTCCTTCATCACCAGGAGGTACTGATTGCCATTGAATGCGTGATGAAACCGACCCACTACGTCGATACACCACAAGTCATCTACTTCCGTCAATGGAATCGACTACACAGACAGTCGGATGCACGCATCTCCCTTCATCAACTTGCACTGCGGACATTCAAGTACATATTTTGCCACATCTTCTCTCACATCTGACCAACACATGCTTTGTCTCAAGAGGTCAGTTGTTCCGGCTACTCCTATGTGTTCTGGCTGGTGACATTCTTGTGTCATCTCATGGCGTGGAGACTGAGGTATTACCGCCAACCAGCTTCCATAGTTCTCTCTCCAAGTCAGAGTTCTGTAAACCTTCACTATTAATCGATCCCACTGTCTGAGTAGCATAGTCCGATCCTTACTCGCCATAGAAGTTGATTCACTTCTATTCCATTAGTGATCACCTGTATTACTGTATTCAGGGTAGGGTCCAATTTCTCACTGCGAGCAAGTCTTAATGGATCTTGTTACAATACATCCACTCAATAAGCGATCTTCGCCAACCCAGATTCGTCTTCTGGTCTAGATAAGAAATCTGACAAAGAAGTTCAGTTGCTGGGGCCGCGTGAGATGATGAAGTCATACTTCTCCAGGCTCAACATCCACCTGGACAATTTTCCACATGGGCCTTTCGCCATCTTCACAAAATCTACCGACTTCTGATCAGTTTCCATGTGGAACTGTTGGTCGAGTAAATACGGTCTCCATTTCATTATGGACAAAATTTTATTTCGATAAAGTCCCACAGTGTTATACAGTACAGTAATATATACAGATGACGTTTCGAGAACAATTTATTCCTCATAATCATATCAGTGCCCGAGTTTCATGCTTATAACGGTCTCCATTTGTTTACCCGCCCATACTATTGCTGAACACTCCTTCTTCCTCTATCGTTGAATACTTCTACTCTGTGTGTTCAAATACCACTGATATATTCCACAAATGCTTCACCCTGTCCAAGTACTGCGTCTGTGGCATAGTCACTCGCATCTGTGTACACTGTCAACTGTTTTCCGGGTACAGGCAGTCTTAGCGTTATTCTACGGTCGTTTGACAGCCGTTTAATACTGTCAAATATCTTCTGAGAATCTTCCGACAAATCAAACTTCGACTCATCATCTAATAGCCTGCACACGGGGTCTGGGTCTGCTATCCTATTGAAGTTTGCACAAATCGACTATGAAATGCTGCTCTCCCCAGGAACTTCCCTAGCGTTCTCTTGGAATTCGGGCCCGTAATCGTCTTTATCGACAAGATTTTCTCCGGTAGCGGTTTTATCTCACCGTTGCCCACTCCTCTATCACCCAACACGCCAACACTCCGTTTGGCTATCTGAGATTTTCTCCTGTCAATGCGCAGTCCAAACTCTTCAATGCCTTTTAACACGGCTTCAACATGGCTCACATGATCGCTTTCGTTTTGATTTTAGATGAACACGTCATCACCGTACACCTCCACATTCTTCAAGTTTCCAATCAACAACGTAACGACTCCTCTGAAGGCAAACGGTACACCTGCTAGTCGTCCAAATAGCATGCGTTTAAACCGATATTCTTTCTGACCCATGCGATGAACACCGTCTTATCTCTGTCGCTCTGTTTTATCGATATCTGACAATATCGTGACCGGAGGGAGGTCAAGCACTGTTAACAAATTCGCGAATTCTATACCATTCACGCGGTATCTACTACAGTTTGCATGCCACACCGTCTCAGCTCTGTCATGCGGTTTAGCTGTCACAAATCCACGCACAATCTCTAATTCCCATTTCCTTTCTTCACTAAAAAAATTAAAAAGTTATACGGGCTGTCAGCTTCTTCTATAATATCATCATGCAAAATCTCCTTCAACTGTCGCTCCACTTTGCACAAACCCATAAACATCACCTCCGTGGTTTCACGAGTAGTTGAATCGATTGTAAACAATCAAATCAATCAGTCAGTAAATATCAACCCAACCAGAACACAGTCAAACAAACATATTCGAATGTAGCCATATTTGATAACGAAAATAGCACAGTATTTGACCGTGAACTACTGCTACTACAACTACTAAGGGGCCCACAACGCCTTCGTATCAACCTACCTAAACTACATGCACTCTGAGAAGATCTTTGACAGATTCAACGTCACACCAAACAGTATCGACAGTATTTCCGAACTCCAATCAACAAATAGATATTTCAACGCCACAATCACGGTGTCTCATTCCAAGCAACGTTATTCTTAACCTTTAGCATTTCATTCAAACAAACAGCACCGGATCCCAGTCAAAATACCAACACCACACCATCACCCATTGGGGATTGTATATTGCAGGTAAATCCAGTTGGCGATTCCCGAACCGGACAAAATCCTAGAAGGACTCCTCCTGACGAAGCCTGGAACAACATACAGTTAGCTGTAGACACAGATGTCAAAGCTGTTAATAGCCTAAAACCTAAGGTCAGTAAGAGCCATTGGATTTCTACCACCTCATCCAAACGGACTGACTGACTGACTGACTGACTGACGCAAAAACGTCAATTCCGATGAGCTCCAAATATGATCAGGAGCAAAAGCTGCTGCTCACGCACAAACTAACAAGAAGTCTTCGCAACAACCGTGAACAGTGGTGTGCAACAAAAACCAAAGAGATGGAAAAGACTTCGACGATTGGTAACACAAGACAACTATTTAGACTTATCAGAGAAGCAGGTGGCAAAAGGCAAATCATACGTGGAACAATCTCTGAGGAAAATGACACCATAATTACCTCCCAAGACAGACGACTCGGATGTTGGAAAGAACACTTTGAGCAGGAATTTAGAGAATAAGTGTTTTCAATAAATTCTTTAGACTCTACAATTATAAATCCATTAATTTAAGCATACAATAGCCAGTCAGTAAAGGCAAGTTAGAATCATATCCGCTTATTTCATCTCTCGTTGGTATGAGCGGGACCACGGCTCTCCGTGACAGTGTGACAGTGGCCCTTTCCACTTCGGTAAGAGTTTCCACAAACATGGTCTGCATCCAACTGTATACTTTCTTCCTCTACACTTTACTTCATCGCCGACCTAGAGGCTTATGCATCCTATCTTTCCTCCCTGCTCAGATTTCAAGGCGTCTATCTTCTGTTTACGCTTTACATTCCTGACGGCTCCTTTCCGTTCCCTTCGCAACCACCTCGTCATATTCCACTCCTGGTAAACGGAACAAGTCGTACTGTGTATTGGCAGTCTTTGATTCCTACCAAACTTCAACTGAAATGATGACTTCTTTGTTGGTTCCTGGGTGGGTGGAAGCAGGTACATCCGGTTGGCGATTCCCGAACCGGACAAAATCCTAGTCACCATCCACCAAATTACATACTTAATTTTAAGTCCGGATAATCTTCTCCTCTATATACACTCACTACTCTGTAATTAACCTCATCCATCCTCTGTAGGATTATAACATTATCCTACCTGCGAATGAATCTTCAGAACACATTCATTCGATAAAACAAAAATATTATCTATCTTCAATCTGATTTCACCCTACTCACCGGTTGGTTGCGTAAAACTTTGTCATATGTAGAGCGGAAACAGGGGGAAACAAACCAGAACTTACAATTTCAATGTGGAGTCTGTTTGCCTCTTCATTCTTCACATTATCTCTCACTTCACATGACTCCGACTTGCTTCTTTTTCGGTAATTACCCGGTGTAATCCAGTCGTCGCCAAAAACTTTAGGCTTTGGCCTTCGCTTTCTCTTCTGTGTGCCACTTGACGAACTCACCTATAAGGAGAAAAACGAATCACAATCAAAGAAAACACAAACACATACATTTTACAACTGAATTCGCATGAAAATAACGAAAATAAAAGGATTAGAATATCATCTAAGTAGAGTAATGCAGCAGTTGAGTACATGATGAAAACTTATACGAAAGAGCTGATTGCCAGTCAATGAGCTTCAACACAAAACTTTGCACAGAAGTGGAACGGTTCAAGTTGACAAACTCCACGTAGTACACAAAGATAGACAAGCTAACCTAGACAGAGAAAACACTCTCAAAAGCAGAAATGTACGGGAGGAAGACTAGGAACATGGAGTTACTAGGGATTTAATCGGTGCATCAGAACATAACATCACTAAGAGTGCCTGCATCTGTGCCACTCACCACGATTTCCGACCATATCACCAACAATCTCCAACCACTACTTCTTAGCATTCCCAACACCCCCAACCAACCAGCCAGTCTACGTCTACACCTACGCCCTATCTGGCTCAAAACAGCTCTCAAGGACTTTATTGCTTGATTCCACATTTTCGTCTGGTCTAATTAACTCCTTTCCAACTCCAACTCCAACTCTACGTCAGCTAACACTGCTCGGATCAACTAAAGGATGACTTCGACGAGAATCTGTCCCAATTCACTGCAAAAAGCAAAACCTTCAGATATAGTTGTTTTAGCAGGCGACTTCAATGCCCAAGTAGGCAAGTTATACCAGAGGGAGAAGTATATAGGCGGTACATACGGAGTTCACTACCGACGAACCGACAACGGCGGTGATTGTCTTCTACACTTCTCTTCAGATAATCATCTGTTCCTAGTCACCACTAACTGTAGCCACAAACACAGACATTGTCTAACCTGGCGATGACTTCCATCACCAAATCAACATTGGACTCAAATAGACCACATAGCGATAAGGTATCGTTGGAGAGGGTCGGGTAGAAGACTACCACTACTTCTGGAACACGTGCGTAGACTCCGATCACGCCTTGGTTTGCGTACCTTTATGCGGTTAAACGGACATAAAAAATTGTTCGCAGCCAAGCAGTTACTTCCTCAACTAGATCGAGACACTCAGTCCATATTTCAGAAAGAAATAGCCAAACGAGTACCTGAGGTCGACAGAAGGACTCCTCCTGACGAAGCCTGGAACAACATACAGTTAGCTGTAGACACAGATGTCAAAGCTGTTAATAGCCTAAAACCTAAGGTCAGTAAGAGCCATTGGATTTCTACCACCTCATCCAAACGGACTGACTGACTGACTGACTGACTGACGCAAAAACGTCGATTCCGATGAGCTCCAAATATGATCAGGAGCAAAAGCTGCTGCTCACGCACAAACTAACAAGAAGTCTTCGCAACAACCGTGAACAGTGGTGTGCAACAAAAACCAAAGAGATGGAAAAGACTTCGACGATTGGTAACACAAGACAACTATTTAGACTTATCAGAGAAGCAGGTGGCAAAAGGCAAATCATACGTGGAACAATCTCTGAGGAAAATGACACCATAATTACCTCCCAAGACAGACGACTCGGATGTTGGAAAGAACACTTTGAGCAGGAATTTAGAGAATAAGTGTCTTCAATAAATTCTTTAGACTCTACAATTATAAATCCATTAATTTAAGCATACAATAGCCAGTCAGTAAAGGCAAGTTAGAATCATATCCGCTTATTTCATCTCTCGTTGGTATGAGCGGGACCACGGCTCTCCGTGACAGTGTGACAGTGGCCCTTTCCACTTCGGTAAGAGTTTCCACAAACATGGTCTGCATCCAACTGTATACTTTCTTCCTCTACACTTTACTTCATCGCCGACCTAGAGGCTTATGCATCCTATCTTTCCTCCCTGCTCAGATTTCAAGGCGTCTATCTTCTGTTTACGCTTTACATTCCTGACGGCTCCTTTCCGTTCCCTTCGCAACCACCTCGTCATATTCCACTCCTGGTAAACGGAACAAATCGTACTGTGTATTCGCAGTCTTTGATTCCTACCAAACTTCAACTGAAATGATGACTTCCATTATAGATAAGATTTTTATTTTGATAAATCGCACAGTGTTTACAGTTATATGAACTGATGACGTTTCGAGCACAATTTATTGCTTATAATCATTTCAAGGTAATCACACGACTTCCTTAATCCACTTATATAGTTCCATTGTTTTTCTCTTGATTTTCACTTGATTTGATTGGTAATAGTATTTTCCATATTTCAGGTATGAGTGACGAGTCATTCCTATTGCATGTGTTGGGTGTAGACTCGATGAACAAGGATTCAGTAATCAACCTCTCTCTCCACCTACCTAGATTACTTTTTAGAATTTTAACCCTCTCCCACCCTATTGTGTGGTTGTGTGTTAGCGCATGCATTGCAATTGCTGAGCTTTTTTCTAAATTATTTATCTTCTCGGGGTCAACCATTCTTACCTTAGCTAAATTTTTATGCTCTGACAATCTGACTACCCCTGACCTACTAGTTTGACCTATGTAGTTGACCTCACAGTCATTGCATGGTATTTTGTAAATAATATTATTTTGTCTAATTGGGTCAACTGGGTCCTTTAACCTACAGAGCTTGTCCCTGAGTGAGTTTGTAGGTTTAAATGCCACCCTAATTCCTATTTTATTCAGAATCCTACGTAGTGTCTCAGATGTCCCCTCTTTATATGGTATAACTGTGGATGACTTATATTCTTTCTTATTTATGTTATTATTACTAGTTTCACAATTATTTTTATTTTGTTTTTGGCCTTTAATGATCTTCCTAATGAATTTTATAGGATAGTTATTCAACACCAACGCTTCTTCTATCTGTGTTAATTCATCATTTAGATCTTTTTTTGTGCTACTTAGTGCCACTGCTCGGTTTGTTAAACATTTAACTAAGCCTGCCTTAACAGTTAAAGGATGAGACGAATTAAAGTCTAAATATCTATTAGAATGCGTTGGTTTTCTATAAACACTAGTGTGTAGTTTGCCTTCTTCTATTCTTTTTATCTTACAATCTAACATAGCTAATTCTCCTTGTTCATTTTCTGATTCAAATGTGAATTTTATTCCCTCAACTTGTGAGTTTATATGTGTCAAGAAGCTAGAGATGTGTTCTGTTTTTAACACTGTGAAAGTGTCATCCACATATCTCCACCATATTTTCGGATTAGGGTTAAATGTATTGAGGGCACTATTTTCCAGCTGTCCATAAATATGTCTGCTACGATAGGGGATATTGGTGATCCCATTGCTACACCTTCTGTTTGTCTATATATTTTGTCTTGGAACTTAAAGATAGTAGATGTGAGGCATAACTGAATCCCTAAAATAATTTCTTCAATGGACAGCTTTGTCCTATGACTGAGTTCCGGATCCGCAGTTAATTCCTTTTTAACTGCTTCTAAGGCCATATTAACTGGTATATTAGTATAAAGACTAGTTATATCAAAACTAACCATTTTTTTCATCATTTTCTAGTTGAATGTCATTTAGCTTACTTTTCATCTCATATGAATTAGTTAGTCTAGAGTTTGAGCGATTTCTAATGGGACAAAGTATTAGAGCTAAGTGTTTTGATTATTCATAAGTGAAGGTATTTCTAAAATCTACTATTGGTCTTATGGGGTAACCTGGTTTATGTATTTTAATAGTACCTTATATTCTACTAGTATTATTAGTTTTAGGCATTAAAGTAAACCATTTAGACACTTTCACAGTGTTAAAAACAGAACACATCTCTAGCTTCTTGACACATATAAACTCACAAGTTGAGGGAATAAAATTCACATTTGAATCAGAAAATGAACAAGGAGAATTAGCTATGTTAGATTGTAAGATAAAAAGAATAGAAGAAGGCAAACTACACACTAGTGTTTATAGAAAACCAACGCATTCTAATAGATATTTAGACTTTAATTCGTCTCATCCTTTAACTGTTAAGGCAGGCTTAGTTAAATGTTTAACAAACCGAGCAGTGGCACTAAGTAGCACAAAAAAAGATCTAAATGATGAATTAACACAGATAGAAGAAGCGTTGGTGTTGAATAACTATCCTATAAAATTCATTAGGAAGATCATTAAAGGCCAAAAACAAAATAAAAATAATTGTGAAACTAGTAATAATAACATAAATAAGAAAGAATATAAGTCATCCACAGTTATACCATATAAAGAGGGGACATCTGAGACACTACGTAGGATTCTGAATAAAATAGGAATTAGGGTGGCATTTAAACCTACAAACTCACTCAGGGACAAGCTCTGTAGGTTAAAGGACCCAGTTGACCCAATTAGACAAAATAATATTATTTACAAAATACCATGCAATGACTGTGAGGTCAACTACATAGGTCAAACTAGTAGGTCAGGGGTAGTCAGATTGTCAGAGCATAAAAATTTAGCTAAGGTAAGAATGGTTGACCCCGAGAAGATAAATAATTTAGAAAAAAGCTCAGCAATTGCAATGCATGCGCTAACACACAACCACACAATAGGGTGGGAGAGGGTTAAAATTCTAAAAAGTAATCTAGGTAGGTGGAGAGAGAGGTTGATTACTGAATCCTTGTTCATCGAGTCTACACCCAACACATGCAATAGGAATGACTCGTCACTCATACCTGAAATATGGAAAATACTATTACCAATCAAATCAAGTGAAAATCAAGAGAAAAACAATGGAACTATATAAGTGGATTAAGGAAGTCGTGTGATTACCTTGAAATGATTATGAGCAATAAATTGTGCTCGAAACGTCATCAGTTCATATAACTGTAAACACTGTGCGATTTATCAAAATAAAAATCTTATCTATAATGGAATTATACTCTACCACGGTGCACAAGTTTTATACTTATCTCAAGAAATGATGACTTCTTTGTTAGTTCCTGGGTGGGTGGAAGCAGGTACATCCGGTTGGCGATTCCCGAACCGGACAAAATCCTAGTCACCATCCACCAAATTACATACTTAATTTTAAGTCCGGATAATCTTCTCCTCTATATACACTCACTACTCTGTAATTAACCTCATCCATCCTCTGTAGGATTATAACATTATCCTACCTGCGAATGAATCTTCAGAACACATTCATTCGATAAAACAAAAATATTATCTATCTTCAATCTGATTTCACCCTACTCACCGGTTGGTTGCGTAAAACTTTGTCATATGTAGAGCGGAAACAGGGGGAAACAAACCAGAACTTACAATTTCAATGTGGAGTCTGTTTGCCTCTTCATTCTTCACATTATCTCTCACTTCACATGACTCCGACTTGCTTCTTTTTCGGTAATTACCCGGTGTAATCCAGTCGTCGCCAAAAACTTTAGGCTTTGGCCTTCGCTTTCTCTTCTGTGTGCCACTTGACGAACTCACCTATAAGGAGAAAAACGAATCACAATCAAAGAAAACACAAACACATACATTTTACAACTGAATTCGCATGAAAATAACGAAAATAAAAGGATTAGAATATCATCTAAGTAGAGTAATGCAGCAGTTGAGTACATGATGAAAACTTATACGAAAGAGCTGATTGCCAGTCAATGAGCTTCAACACAAAACTTTGCACAGAAGTGGAACGGTTCAAGTTGACAAACTCCACGTAGTACACAAAGATAGACAAGCTAACCTAGACAGAGAAAACACTCTCAAAAGCAGAAATGTACGGGAGGAAGACTAGGAACATGGAGTTACTAGGGATTTAATCGGTGCATCAGAACATAACATCACTAAGAGTGCCTGCATCTGTGCCACTCACCACGATTTCCGACCATATCACCAACAATCTCCAACCACTACTTCTTAGCATTCCCAACACCCCCAACCAACCAGCCAGTCTACGTCTACACCTACGCCCTATCTGGCTCAAAACAGCTCTCAAGGACTTTATTGCTTGATTCCACATTTTCGTCTGGTCTAATTAACTCCTTTCCAACTCCAACTCCAACTCTACGTCAGCTAACACTGCTCGGATCAACTGTCTGTCTGTCTGTTTTCGACATAGAACTTTGCACAAATGTGCGGAAGTTCAAGTCGCCACATTCCGTGTAGCACGCGAAGCAAGAGAGGAAAGTACAAGAAAAGCATAATAGAAACAGTGAGCAGAGGTGTGAGACAAAGGAGTAATAAAGAAATACAAAACAGTTTCATTGAAGATCATAAGTCACAGGGAGTGGATGCATCTGCGCCACTGAGAACGATTTTGAGCCATGTCACCAATTGTTTCCAACCATAGATTTTTACCGTCCCGAGGACCCCAGCCTGGAAGTCTACACCTTTCTACGTGGCTGGCTTAGACCAACTGTTGTGGATTTCATTGACTGATGCCAAGTTTTTGTTTGACCTCCGCTAGCTTTTTTCCAGCCTGACCCTATATCCGCTAACATTGCTCGTCGAGGGAGGCGATGGCTTGGCATACGTAACACATGTCCTAACCATCTCAGTCTTTGTAACTTCACGACTTCGTCGATTGATTTCCCCTGTTTACCTAGAACTCTACGCCTAACCTCCATGTTGCTCACCTTATTATGCCACTTTACACGGGAAATAGAACGCAGGCACCTAAGATCAAAGACAGCTAGTCTTTTCATGTCTTCCACTCTCAGTGGCCAGGTCTCACAACCATACAGGAGGACGGAGCGGACTGATGAGCAGTACACCCGCCCTTTGGTCGATAGTCGAACATCTCGTCTACGCCAGAGTCGGCGTAAACTAACAAATGCGAAACGAGCCCCTTGTATTCGTGCTGAGATTTCGTCAGAGATCAACCCGTTGACACTGGCTGATGGTACTTCCCAAATAAGTGAAGCGGTCAACGTGCTCTACCACTTCACTTCCTATTTTTAAACTAGGCGTCGATGTAGTCCAGTCCTGTAACATCATCTTGCATTTGGCGGGAGCGAATAGCATGCCAAACATTCGTAGATTGCGGCTCAAGGTGTTTAGAAGACTCTGCATTTCGTCAGCGTCTTCGCCTAGAAGGACTATATCGTCTGCATATTCCAAGTCAACGAGATTATTCCCCGGTAGCAAGTTAATTCCTGAGTCACTGAAGTCACCTAGGGTTAAGTCCATTAACACATCTATGATGAAGTTGAATAGAAAAGGAGATAATGGGCATCCTTGACGGACACCACTGGTCGTCATCAGTTCAGATGACAGCTCGCCGTAAGCCCTTACCTGACTGTATGAGTACGAATAGAGTGCCTTAATCAGTGCAATATATTTTCTCGGAATTCCCTTTACAGCCAAGCATCTCCAGAGAACTTCCCGATCGACAGAGTCGAATGCTGCCTTTAGGTCAAGAAATATAACTGTTGGACGCCGGTAGGAATGCCTATGTTCTAGAATCTGTCGGAGGGTGAAGATATGATCAATACACCCTCTTCCTGGTCTAAAGCCTGCCTGGCTCTCTCGTGTTTGTGCTTCCCGAGCACCACTCAGTCTACGCATGATTATTGAGCCTAAGACTTTAGATACTATATTAGTCAAGCTAATCCCTCTGTGATTATCACAGGAAGACTTGTCTCCCTTCTTGCATATGGGGATAATCAGTGACTTACACCAACCCGATGGGACTTCTTCTGATTCCCAGACGCTGCCTAGTACCTCAGTTAATCCGGACAGTAAGCTGTCTCCACCGTACTTAAATACCTCTGGCGTCATTACTTAAAGGTCCCGCTGCTCGGATCAACTAAAGGATGACTTCGACGAGAATCTGTCCCAATTCACTGCAAAAAGCAAAACCTTCAGATATAGTTGTTTTAGCAGGCGACTTCAATGCCCAAGTAGGCAAGTTATACCAGAGGGAGAAGTATATAGGCGGTACATACGGAGTTCACTACCGACGAACCGACAACGGCGGTGATTGTCTTCTACACTTCTCTTCAGATAATCATCTGTTCCTAGTCACCACTAACTGTAGCCACAAACACAGACATTGTCTAACCTGGCGATGACTTCCATCACCAAATCAACATTGGACTCAAATAGACCACATAGCGATAAGGTATCGTTGGAGAGGGTCGGGTAGAAGACTACCACTACTTCTGGAACACGTGCGTAGACTCCGATCACGCCTTGGTTTGCGTACCTTTATGCGGTTAAACGGACATAAAAAATTGTTCGCAGCCAAGCAGTTACTTCCTCAACTAGATCGAGACACTCAGTCCATATTTCAGAAAGAAATAGCCAAACGAGTACCTGAGGTCGACAGAAGGACTCCTCCTGACGAAGCCTGGAACAACATACAGTTAGCTGTAGACACAGATGTCAAAGCTGTTAATAGCCTAAAACCTAAGGTCAGTAAGAGCCATTGGATTTCTACCACCTCATCCAAACGGACTGACTGACTGACTGACGCAAAAACGTCGATTCCGATGAGCTCCAAATATGATCAGGAGCAAAAGCTGCTGCTCACGCACAAACTAACAAGAAGTCTTCGCAACAACCGTGAACAGTGGTGTGCAACAAAAACCAAAGAGATGGAAAAGACTTCGACGATTGGTAACACAAGACAACTATTTAGACTTATCAGAGAAGCAGGTGGCAAAAGGCAAATCATACGTGGAACAATCTCTGAGGAAAATGACACCATAATTACCTCCCAAGACAGACGACTCGGATGTTGGAAAGAACACTTTGAGCAGGAATTTAGAGAATAAGTGTTTTCAATAAATTCTTTAGACTCTACAATTATAAATCCATTAATTTAAGCATACAATAGCCAGTCAGTAAAGGCAAGTTAGAATCATATCCGCTTATTTCATCTCTCGTTGGTATGAGCGGGACCACGGCTCTCCGTGACAGTGTGACAGTGGCCCTTTCCACTTCGGTAAGAGTTTCCACAAACATGGTCTGCATCCAACTGTATACTTTCTTCCTCTACACTTTACTTCATCGCCGACCTAGAGGCTTATGCATCCTATCTTTCCTCCCTGCTCAGATTTCAAGGCGTCTATCTTCTGTTTACGCTTTACATTCCTGACGGCTCCTTTCCGTTCCCTTCGCAACCACCTCGTCATATTCCACTCCTGGTAAACGGAACAAGTCGTACTGTGTATTGGCAGTCTTTGATTCCTACCAAACTTCAACTGAAATGATGACTTCTTTGTTGGTTCCTGGGTGGGTGGAAGCAGGTACATCCGGTTGGCGATTCCCGAACCGGACAAAATCCTAGTCACCATCCACCAAATTACATACTTAATTTTAAGTCCGGATAATCTTCTCCTCTATATACACTCACTACTCTGTAATTAACCTCATCCATCCTCTGTAGGATTATAACATTATCCTACCTGCGAATGAATCTTCAGAACACATTCATTCGATAAAACAAAAATATTATCTATCTTCAATCTGATTTCACCCTACTCACCGGTTGGTTGCGTAAAACTTTGTCATATGTAGAGCGGAAACAGGGGGAAACAAACCAGAACTTACAATTTCAATGTGGAGTCTGTTTGCCTCTTCATTCTTCACATTATCTCTCACTTCACATGACTCCGACTTGCTTCTTTTTCGGTAATTACCCGGTGTAATCCAGTCGTCGCCAAAAACTTTAGGCTTTGGCCTTCGCTTTCTCTTCTGTGTGCCACTTGACGAACTCACCTATAAGGAGAAAAACGAATCACAATCAAAGAAAACACAAACACATACATTTTACAACTGAATTCGCATGAAAATAACGAAAATAAAAGGATTAGAATATCATCTAAGTAGAGTAATGCAGCAGTTGAGTACATGATGAAAACTTATACGAAAGAGCTGATTGCCAGTCAATGAGCTTCAACACAAAACTTTGCACAGAAGTGGAACGGTTCAAGTTGACAAACTCCACGTAGTACACAAAGATAGACAAGCTAACCTAGACAGAGAAAACACTCTCAAAAGCAGAAATGTACGGGAGGAAGACTAGGAACATGGAGTTACTAGGGATTTAATCGGTGCATCAGAACATAACATCACTAAGAGTGCCTGCATCTGTGCCACTCACCACGATTTCCGACCATATCACCAACAATCTCCAACCACTACTTCTTAGCATTCCCAACACCCCCAACCAACCAGCCAGTCTACGTCTACACCTACGCCCTATCTGGCTCAAAACAGCTCTCAAGGACTTTATTGCTTGATTCCACATTTTCGTCTGGTCTAATTAACTCCTTTCCAACTCCAACTCCAACTCTACGTCAGCTAACACTGCTCGGATCAACTGTCTGTCTGTCTGTTTTCGACATAGAACTTTGCACAAATGTGCGGAAGTTCAAGTCGCCACATTCCGTGTAGCACGCGAAGCAAGAGAGGAAAGTACAAGAAAAGCATAATAGAAACAGTGAGCAGAGGTGTGAGACAAAGGAGTAATAAAGAAATACAAAACAGTTTCATTGAAGATCATAAGTCACAGGGAGTGGATGCATCTGCGCCACTGAGAACGATTTTGAGCCATGTCACCAATTGTTTCCAACCATAGATTTTTACCGTCCCGAGGACCCCAGCCTGGAAGTCTACACCTTTCTACGTGGCTGGCTTAGACCAACTGTTGTGGATTTCATTGACTGATGCCAAGTTTTTGTTTGACCTCCGCTAGCTTTTTTCCAGCCTGACCCTATATCCGCTAACATTGCTCGTCGAGGGAGGCGATGGCTTGGCATACGTAACACATGTCCTAACCATCTCAGTCTTTGTAACTTCACGACTTCGTCGATTGATTTCCCCTGTTTACCTAGAACTCTACGCCTAACCTCCATGTTGCTCACCTTATTATGCCACTTTACACGGGAAATAGAACGCAGGCACCTAAGATCAAAGACAGCTAGTCTTTTCATGTCTTCCACTCTCAGTGGCCAGGTCTCACAACCATACAGGAGGACGGAGCGGACTGATGAGCAGTACACCCGCCCTTTGGTCGATAGTCGAACATCTCGTCTACGCCAGAGTCGGCGTAAACTAACAAATGCGAAACGAGCCCCTTGTATTCGTGCTGAGATTTCGTCAGAGATCAACCCGTTGACACTGGCTGATGGTACTTCCCAAATAAGTGAAGCGGTCAACGTGCTCTACCACTTCACTTCCTATTTTTAAACTAGGCGTCGATGTAGTCCAGTCCTGTAACATCATCTTGCATTTGGCGGGAGCGAATAGCATGCCAAACATTCGTAGATTGCGGCTCAAGGTGTTTAGAAGACTCTGCATTTCGTCAGCGTCTTCGCCTAGAAGGACTATATCGTCTGCATATTCCAAGTCAACGAGATTATTCCCCGGTAGCAAGTTAATTCCTGAGTCACTGAAGTCACCTAGGGTTAAGTCCATTAACACATCTATGATGAAGTTGAATAGAAAAGGAGATAATGGGCATCCTTGACGGACACCACTGGTCGTCATCAGTTCAGATGACAGCTCGCCGTAAGCCCTTACCTGACTGTATGAGTACGAATAGAGTGCCTTAATCAGTGCAATATATTTTCTCGGAATTCCCTTTACAGCCAAGCATCTCCAGAGAACTTCCCGATCGACAGAGTCGAATGCTGCCTTTAGGTCAAGAAATATAACTGTTGGACGCCGGTAGGAATGCCTATGTTCTAGAATCTGTCGGAGGGTGAAGATATGATCAATACACCCTCTTCCTGGTCTAAAGCCTGCCTGGCTCTCTCGTGTTTGTGCTTCCCGAGCACCACTCAGTCTACGCATGATTATTGAGCCTAAGACTTTAGATACTATATTAGTCAAGCTAATCCCTCTGTGATTATCACAGGAAGACTTGTCTCCCTTCTTGCATATGGGGATAATCAGTGACTTACACCAACCCGATGGGACTTCTTCTGATTCCCAGACGCTGCCTAGTACCTCAGTTAATCCGGACAGTAAGCTGTCTCCACCGTACTTAAATACCTCTGGCGTCATTACTTAAAGGTCCCGCTGCTCGGATCAACTAAAGGATGACTTCGACGAGAATCTGTCCCAATTCACTGCAAAAAGCAAAACCTTCAGATATAGTTGTTTTAGCAGGCGACTTCAATGCCCAAGTAGGCAAGTTATACCAGAGGGAGAAGTATATAGGCGGTACATACGGAGTTCACTACCGACGAACCGACAACGGCGGTGATTGTCTTCTACACTTCTCTTCAGATAATCATCTGTTCCTAGTCACCACTAACTGTAGCCACAAACACAGACATTGTCTAACCTGGCGATGACTTCCATCACCAAATCAACATTGGACTCAAATAGACCACATAGCGATAAGGTATCGTTGGAGAGGGTCGGGTAGAAGACTACCACTACTTCTGGAACACGTGCGTAGACTCCGATCACGCCTTGGTTTGCGTACCTTTATGCGGTTAAACGGACATAAAAAATTGTTCGCAGCCAAGCAGTTACTTCCTCAACTAGATCGAGACACTCAGTCCATATTTCAGAAAGAAATAGCCAAACGAGTACCTGAGGTCGACAGAAGGACTCCTCCTGACGAAGCCTGGAACAACATACAGTTAGCTGTAGACACAGATGTCAAAGCTGTTAATAGCCTAAAACCTAAGGTCAGTAAGAGCCATTGGATTTCTACCACCTCATCCAAACGGACTGACTGACTGACTGACGCAAAAACGTCGATTCCGATGAGCTCCAAATATGATCAGGAGCAAAAGCTGCTGCTCACGCACAAACTAACAAGAAGTCTTCGCAACAACCGTGAACAGTGGTGTGCAACAAAAACCAAAGAGATGGAAAAGACTTCGACGATTGGTAACACAAGACAACTATTTAGACTTATCAGAGAAGCAGGTGGCAAAAGGCAAATCATACGTGGAACAATCTCTGAGGAAAATGACACCATAATTACCTCCCAAGACAGACGACTCGGATGTTGGAAAGAACACTTTGAGCAGGAATTTAGAGAATAAGTGTTTTCAATAAATTCTTTAGACTCTACAATTATAAATCCATTAATTTAAGCATACAATAGCCAGTCAGTAAAGGCAAGTTAGAATCATATCCGCTTATTTCATCTCTCGTTGGTATGAGCGGGACCACGGCTCTCCGTGACAGTGTGACAGTGGCCCTTTCCACTTCGGTAAGAGTTTCCACAAACATGGTCTGCATCCAACTGCATACTTTCTTCCTCTACACTTTACTTCATCGCCGACCTAGAGGCTTATGCATCCTATCTTTCCTCCCTGCTCAGATTTCAAGGCGTCTATCTTCTGTTTACGCTTTACATTCCTGACGGCTCCTTTCCGTTCCCTTCGCAACCACCTCGTCATATTCCACTCCTGGTAAACGGAACAAGTCGTACTGTGTATTGGCAGTCTTTGATTCCTACCAAACTTCAACTGAAATGATGACTTCTTTGTTGGTTCCTGGGTGGGTGGAAGCAGGTACATCCGGTTGGCGATTCCCGAACCGGACAAAATCCTAGTCACCATCCACCAAATTACATACTTAATTTTAAGTCCGGATAATCTTCTCCTCTATATACACTCACTACTCTGTAATTAACCTCATCCATCCTCTGTAGGATTATAACATTATCCTACCTGCGAATGAATCTTCAGAACACATTCATTCGATAAAACAAAAATATTATCTATCTTCAATCTGATTTCACCCTACTCACCGGTTGGTTGCGTAAAACTTTGTCATATGTAGAGCGGAAACAGGGGGAAACAAACCAGAACTTACAATTTCAATGTGGAGTCTGTTTGCCTCTTCATTCTTCACATTATCTCTCACTTCACATGACTCCGACTTGCTTCTTTTTCGGTAATTACCCGGTGTAATCCAGTCGTCGCCAAAAACTTTAGGCTTTGGCCTTCGCTTTCTCTTCTGTGTGCCACTTGACGAACTCACCTATAAGGAGAAAAACGAATCACAATCAAAGAAAACACAAACACATACATTTTACAACTGAATTCGCATGAAAATAACGAAAATAAAAGGATTAGAATATCATCTAAGTAGAGTAATGCAGCAGTTGAGTACATGATGAAAACTTATACGAAAGAGCTGATTGCCAGTCAATGAGCTTCAACACAAAACTTTGCACAGAAGTGGAACGGTTCAAGTTGACAAACTCCACGTAGTACACAAAGATAGACAAGCTAACCTAGACAGAGAAAACACTCTCAAAAGCAGAAATGTACGGGAGGAAGACTAGGAACATGGAGTTACTAGGGATTTAATCGGTGCATCAGAACATAACATCACTAAGAGTGCCTGCATCTGTGCCACTCACCACGATTTCCGACCATATCACCAACAATCTCCAACCACTACTTCTTAGCATTCCCAACACCCCCAACCAACCAGCCAGTCTACGTCTACACCTACGCCCTATCTGGCTCAAAACAGCTCTCAAGGACTTTATTGCTTGATTCCACATTTTCGTCTGGTCTAATTAACTCCTTTCCAACTCCAACTCCAACTCTACGTCAGCTAACACTGCTCGGATCAACTAAAGGATGACTTCGACGAGAATCTGTCCCAATTCACTGCAAAAAGCAAAACCTTCAGATATAGTTGTTTTAGCAGGCGACTTCAATGCCCAAGTAGGCAAGTTATACCAGAGGGAGAAGTATATAGGCGGTACATACGGAGTTCACTACCGACGAACCGACAACGGCGGTGATTGTCTTCTACACTTCTCTTCAGATAATCATCTGTTCCTAGTCACCACTAACTGTAGCCACAAACACAGACATTGTCTAACCTGGCGATGACTTCCATCACCAAATCAACATTGGACTCAAATAGACCACATAGCGATAAGGTATCGTTGGAGAGGGTCGGGTAGAAGACTACCACTACTTCTGGAACACGTGCGTAGACTCCGATCACGCCTTGGTTTGCGTACCTTTATGCGGTTAAACGGACATAAAAAATTGTTCGCAGCCAAGCAGTTACTTCCTCAACTAGATCGAGACACTCAGTCCATATTTCAGAAAGAAATAGCCAAACGAGTACCTGAGGTCGACAGAAGGACTCCTCCTGACGAAGCCTGGAACAACATACAGTTAGCTGTAGACACAGATGTCAAAGCTGTTAATAGCCTAAAACCTAAGGTCAGTAAGAGCCATTGGATTTCTACCACCTCATCCAAACGGACTGACTGACTGACTGACTGACGCAAAAACGTCGATTCCGATGAGCTCCAAATATGATCAGGAGCAAAAGCTGCTGCTCACGCACAAACTAACAAGAAGTCTTCGCAACAACCGTGAACAGTGGTGTGCAACAAAAACCAAAGAGATGGAAAAGACTTCGACGATTGGTAACACAAGACAACTATTTAGACTTATCAGAGAAGCAGGTGGCAAAAGGCAAATCATACGTGGAACAATCTCTGAGGAAAATGACACCATAATTACCTCCCAAGACAGACGACTCGGATGTTGGAAAGAACACTTTGAGCAGGAATTTAGAGAATAAGTGTTTTCAATAAATTCTTTAGACTCTACAATTATAAATCCATTAATTTAAGCATACAATAGCCAGTCAGTAAAGGCAAGTTAGAATCATATCCGCTTATTTCATCTCTCGTTGGTATGAGCGGGACCACGGCTCTCCGTGACAGTGTGACAGTGGCCCTTTCCACTTCGGTAAGAGTTTCCACAAACATGGTCTGCATCCAACTGCATACTTTCTTCCTCTACACTTTACTTCATCGCCGACCTAGAGGCTTATGCATCCTATCTTTCCTCCCTGCTCAGATTTCAAGGCGTCTATCTTCTGTTTACGCTTTACATTCCTGACGGCTCCTTTCCGTTCCCTTCGCAACCACCTCGTCATATTCCACTCCTGGTAAACGGAACAAGTCGTACTGTGTATTGGCAGTCTTTGATTCCTACCAAACTTCAACTGAAATGATGACTTCTTTGTTGGTTCCTGGGTGGGTGGAAGCAGGTACATCCGGTTGGCGATTCCCGAACCGGACAAAATCCTAGTCACCATCCACCAAATTACATACTTAATTTTAAGTCCGGATAATCTTCTCCTCTATATACACTCACTACTCTGTAATTAACCTCATCCATCCTCTGTAGGATTATAACATTATCCTACCTGCGAATGAATCTTCAGAACACATTCATTCGATAAAACAAAAATATTATCTATCTTCAATCTGATTTCACCCTACTCACCGGTTGGTTGCGTAAAACTTTGTCATAGGTAGAGCGGAAACAGGGGGAAACAAACCAGAACTTACAATTTCAATGTGGAGTCTGTTTGCCTCTTCATTCTTCACATTATCTCTCACTTCACATGACTCCGACTTGCTTCTTTTTCGGTAATTACCGGTGTAATCCAGTCGTCGCCAAAAACTTTAGGCTTTGGCCTTCGCTTTCTCTTCTGTGTGCCACTTGACGAACTCACCTATAAGGAGAAAAACGAATCACAATCAAAGAAAACACAAACACATACATTTCGCAACTGAATTCCCGTGGAAATATAATTATTTGAAGAAGGAATTATTTTATCATTTTTGGAAGTGCTTCGTCTTCAACTACATGTTTTTTTAAAATTTTGTTCTTACCTCCACTTCATCATTAGCTATAAGTTATGATTGTCTAAATTCGTTGGTATTCTTCAAGAACCCCTTATATGTAATCAACCTGTGCACACGCTTGTTTCCTACTTATTCTTGAGTTTGCGAAAATTATTCATTACGTAATCTATGTGTTGCAGGCATTTCTACATTGGAACTCTATGCATTTATTCACTTCGTTAATTTTCACCCCATTGGCATGTTGATACTGCCTAATGATTGTAAACAAACATATCAGTGCCACTTGATTGGTAAGTTGTTGTGTATTGTAATAAAGATGCTATACGTGCATATCAGAGTACAGCCAGACATGAGTATCTAATTGAATAGTAATTATTTCTTCGCTCAATCCTTCTGCTTTCTAAACATATTATTTGGCAGAGTCCAGTCAGGCTGGTATAAGTCATTTATTATCCAGATATACAAGAAGGGAGACAAGTCTTCCTGTGATAATCACAGGGGGATTAGCTTGACTAATATGCTGGTATCTAAAGGTCTAGGCTCAATAATAAAGCGTACACTACTAAGCGGTGCTCGCGAGGCACAAACACGAGAGGAACGGGATGGGTTTAGACCAGGAAGAGGGTGTATTGATCATAGCTTCACCCCCGACAGACTCTTGAACAGAACATAGGCATGCTTACCAGCATCCAACAATCGGCATATTTCTTGACCTGAAATCACCATTCGACTCCGTTGACCAAGAGGTATCATGCCAATGTTTGACTGTGAAAGAAATACTGAGAAAATACACCGCAATGGTCAAGGCACTCTACTCGAACTCATGCAGTCGTCAGCCAGGTAAGAGCCTATGGAGTGGGGACCGATCTCCCCTTGCAGGAAAGTGACATCAAAATTCAACTCAAAACGAGGGATGGAAGGTTACAATCATTCAATGTTACTCACAGTGATACAAACAAATCGGAACAAGAGAAGAAGGAAGGCGTCTATAGACAACTGCAAACAGTAATGGACAACATCCTAAATCGTGACATTAAAATCCTTATGAGAGATATGAATACAAGCCAAACTGGGAACAGACAATACGGCACCAGAACTCATCAGGGGTCGACAGGATCTCCCTAGGCGAAATAAGTGACAATGCAGAACTATTAACAGACTTCTTAAACTTAAATGATTTGATGTTCAGAGGAAGTGTGTACAAACACAAGGATATACACAAGGCGACAGGGATTTCGCCTGACGGACACATCACAAACCAAATAGATTTCATCACAATGGTGCTAGGGGAAGTGGGGATGCAGCCAACTGTGTACAAAGACGAGAAGGGGACAGAACAGATGTGGACTCAGACCACCATCTATTTCAAGGAACCTTCAGGCTCAAGGTTGAAGTACTTCAGAACAACTGCAGGTAGACCACAATTCAAGTTCAACATTCAGAAACTGAAGGACGAAACTACAAGGGATACCTCCCCTACAGATTCGACCAGAACAAAGTCGGAGATACCTGAAGGCATTACTGAAGAAACCTAAATGGAAGAACATTGAGACTCCCAGACCGAAAGCTGCTACCTTGAAGTGGTGGTCGGGCTTGAACACTGCAATGACCTAATCAGGCTATACTAGCTGAGACTTATGTCTCTTGAGGTCCTACCATGCCAGAAAGGTTGTTTGGAAAGCGGTTAGACAAAAAGCAGCTACCCAACCCAACATCATGACCAATGCAAAATCACAAAATATCATCCCAGATCGGCCGGGGCTCGGATTAACAACGACCACGCTTCCTGCTGTCGTGTCACAGGGCAGGAGTGATAAGTATGCTACTGAGACACACAAAACAATAAAGAACGAACAAAAACAGGCCGCGTGTGACCGGCCTCAAGCAGTTGTCCCCTGGGCTCTGCGGTCACGCAACCCACTTCTACGGTGTGGGCAACAGGGGAAGTAACAATCTTCCTCACAATCCGAAATGCACACGAAACCTCTCTAATCCTCACTCATCTTTGTCTTCATCTTCATCTCTATTATCTTGCCTTCCTTCTACTTGATGGCTCTTCACTTCCTCTCCACTCTGTGTCTACTAAAAACGACGGAAGCCAAAAAACAACCACCGATAGTCTCCTAAAGCCACGCCACCAATTTCATATAGGAGCATTTATTGTTAGGACACTTTGCCAAATAGGACAACAAGCATCACTAGCCAAGACCCTGCCATCCCGAGCCATTGATGTATGTTGCCTTTCGGAAACACGCATACAAGACCCAAGTGTGGTTATTCACCTAACCCAAACCTGGTCAACAGGTTGAATCTGCAAAATTCACCTTGAGGGTGTCAGGAGATGCCACAGATAGTTCACGAGTATTAGTTGGCGTAGGGATAGCTTTGAGTACTAGGGCAGAAAAGACATTACTTGACTGGATCCCGGTAGATAGCCGAATGTATGCTGTCCGTCTGAACTGATCAGTAAAAAGGAGAAAGGACTACACTACTCGCCGATGCCTTTTCGTAATCTCCGCCTACGCCCCCACTGACTGCAGTTCGGATGAAACGAAGGATGAGTTCTACCAAAAGCTGTCTAGTTTGCTGCGAAAGGCTAAACGTTCAGATATAGTCGTTCTAGCTGGTGACTTTAATGCTCAAGTAGGGAAATTGTGTCAATCTGAGAAGGATGTCGGTGGCACCTATGGAGTCCCATGCCAGCGAACCGACAACGGTGACCGTCTCCTACAGTTCTGTTCAGATAATCATTTGTTTCTTGTAAGCACTAACTTTAAACACAAGGAGAGACACTGTTTGACCTGGCGACCCCCTTCATCAAACCAACACTGGACACAAACAGACTACATAACAATAAGCTATCGTTGGCGTGGGTCGGTAGGAGATTGTCGCTCCTTCTGGAACACGTGTGCAGATACCGATCACGCACTGGTCCGCGCTCGTGTGTGCCTACGACTAAACGGACGTAGGAAACACCCGGCAGTAAACTCATCACGTCCCCAGCTCGATCAGGAAACTAAATCCCTATTCGAGGAAGAACTACCTAAACATATATCTGAATTCAATAGCTGTGCTCACCCTGAAGAAGCCTGGAAGAATTTAATTTTAATTTTTTTTTAATTTTTGATTGCAGCTTGATTCCACACTGTATTTTTTGGTACAAGTATGGAATTTTCAGCGTGGATATCGGTAGCCCAAATTTCGCAGGCCGACCATAGATATCAGGTGTGCGCCGGCGTGGGCTCGAACCCCGGACCATGTGCATGTTCGGTGAGAGTCCTAACCACTGTGCCACCGACGCACAGCCATAGATACAGATGTAAAGCTGTGAATAAGGTAAATCCAAAGGTGAGTGGATCTTTACCGCCTCATCTGAACTGATAGATGCTAGAAGGCTTATTCCGGCGAGCTCCGAATTCAATGAGGAGCGAAAGCTGCACAAAAGGAAACTTACGAAAAGTCACCGCAAGGACCGTGAACAGTGGTGGCTGACAAAGGCGAAAGAGATGGAAATAGTATGAGCGATAGGCACCACTAGGCAACTCTTTAGACTCATCAGGGAAATGGGTGGGAGAAGGCAAATCATATGTGAAACAATCTCGGAGAAAAATGGCACCATAATTAGCTCCCAGGATAGACGATTGGAACGCTGGAAGGAGCACTATGAGGAGCAGTTTATTTGGCCCACAACCACGCTCAACCTGACGAACATCCAATACCTCCCTGAATGGGATATAGACACAGGTCCTCCGTCCCTAACTGAGGTTACTAAAGCTGTCACTAATCTGAAACAAGGCAAAGCAGTGGGACCTGATGGAATGACTCCAGAGGTATTTAAGTACGGTGGAGACAGTTTACTGTCTGCATTAACTCGGGTACTAGGAAGCGTCTGGGAATCAGAAGAAGTCCCATCTGGTTGGTGTAAGTCACTGATTATCCCCATATACAAGAAGGGAGACAAGTCTTCCTGTGATAATCACAGAGGAATTAGATTGACTAATATGGTAGGTATCTAAAGTCCTAGGCTCAATAATCATGAGTAAACTAAGTGGTGCTCGGGAGGCACAAACACGAGAGAGCCAGGCAGGCGTTAGACCAGGTAGAGGGTGCATAGATCATATCTTCACTCTCCGACACATTCTAGAACATAGACACACTTTTCGGCGTGCGACAATCGCCATATTTCTTGAAGTGAAGGCGGCCTTCGACTCCGTGGATCGAAAGCTACTATGGCAATGTTTGACTGTGAAGGGAGTGCCAAGAAAGTACATTGCACTAATCAAGGCACTCTATTCAAACTCACGTAGTCGTGTAAGGGCTTATGGGGAATTGTCATCTGAATTGATAACAACCAGTGGTGTCCGACAGGGATGTCCACTCTCCCTATTTCTGTTTAACTTCATCATAGATATGCTAATGGAAGTATCCTTAACTGAACGTAACGACTTAGGAATTGACTTGTTACCAGGGAATAGTTTAATGGACTTAGAATATGCAGATGACATAGTCCTGTTAGGGGAGGATTCTGACAAAATCCAGCAGAGTCTTCTGAACACCTTGAGCAGCAATCTTCGTATGTTTGGCATGCGATTCGCCCCTGCAGAAGGTAAGATGCTGCTACAGGACTGGACCACGTCAACTCCTAACTTAGTGATAGGGAGTGAAGTGATAGAACATGTTGACCACTTCACCTATTTGGGAAGTTGTATCAGCACCAACGGACTGATTGGCGACGAAATCTCAGCACGGATCCAAAAAGCTCGAGCTGCTTTCGCTGACTTACACCACCTCTGGCGTAGGCGTGACATCCGGCTATCAACCAAGGGACGTGTGTACTGCTCAGCAGTTTGCTCCGTCCTTCTCTATGGCTCTGAAACATGGCCAATACGAGTTGAAGACATGAAAAGGTTGACTGCTTTCGATCATAGATGTCTGCGATCTTTTTCTCACGTTAGGTGGTTTAATAAGGTAAGTAGTGTTGAGGTTAGGCGTAGTGTTGGGCAAAGAGGAAAAATCAATCGACGAGGCTATAAAGTTACATAGACTAAGATGGCTAGGTCACGTCACGTGGTGCGCATGCCTAACCATCGCCTCCCCCGACGGGCATTACTAGTTGATATAGGTGCAGGTTGGAAAAGAGTAAGTGGTGGCCAAACAAAAACATGGCATCAATTCATGAAATCCTTGACAGTTAAACTGAGTTAGGTAGGGAGATGCAGACTTCCGGGTTGGGGCCCTCGGGACTCTAAGAATCAAGGGTTGCAGACAATAGGTGACATGGCTCAAAATCGTTGTCAATAGCCAGCGCAGATGTATTCAGTCTCTGTAATCTTTCATATTTCTTTCTACCATTACCCATTCTGTTTCGCTCTTATACCTGTCAAACTCTTTTGATTCTCTTCACTCATCTTCTTGTCTACCTTTGTGTGATATTTGGAAGGTGGCAACTCGAACTGCTGCACTTCGGTGCCAAGTTCTATG